TGTGTCGCTCCAGCCCGGCACAGATGTGCTGGGAAGGCATTCACACATGTCCCTTAGCGCAGATAGCGTGGCGTTGTGGCTCGAAAGGCTGCAGAGCTGACCCTTTAACAGCGAGCTGCGAAGGCTGCACAAGCATCCTAAAGTACTGAGGTTTCTTGCTATTAATTTTCAGTGTCACGTTTTTCTTTTCCATGCTATTTATATCACTGGCCTTGACAGAGCTGTGTGTGGCTTACGTCTGTAAGTTTTCTGCTTACATTCCTGCAGTTTCTTAAGCTTCTCTTGGCTTGTGTCCCTTTTCTCTACTTCACTGATATATGGTTTTCTAGGAGTAAATTACCTATCCTTTTCCTCCACTTAGAAACATCTGCAGTTAATTAAAGTTTCCTTGTCTTTTTTTGAGCCCGGCCTAAATTTCCAGCCTTCCACATAATCCTTTTCCTGAGTGGCTCTGTCTTGAGTGCAGGGGCTCATGGTTGGCAAAGGAAAGAAACAACTGCTGTGTTCCCAGGGCTGTACCTAAACCCAGCTGAGGGTCGGGTTCCCAGGGTTGAGGACTCTCTCTTGTAGCTTTTCCTTATTTCTGTAGTGCCCTCATACTTCTGAGATTACCCAAACGTTTCAAGCACAGCTTTGAACACGCTTTGTGCTGTGCCAAGAGGTCTTTCTGTTCTGCATCACTCATAAATTGTTCCTTTTCATGTTTCCCCCCTGCAACTTTGGAGGCTTAATTCAGAGTGAGCTAACCTCCTCTGTTGCTCAACGCTGCGTGTAGGCAGACAGCCGGGCCGCTCCTCGGGTCATGTTGCTGAAATCAGATCTTACATACGTAGCTTTTATGCTTCCTCAATCTCGTGACTGGAATCCAGCTCTGTGTGTTCCTATTCCCCTTTTTTGTTTTCAGCATTTTCCACTTCTGTTGCTACACAGAAGCAAAGGGTTTGGGCACCTTATCTTGCAATCTTAGGCTGGAAAGAGAGACAGTGGAGAGCTTGTCCTGAGCGGTCTTCTCAGCTTTGCCTTTTAAAACCTAAGAGAAGGGCCTCAACTCTAATTAACCAAAGCTGCCTAATAAAGCTTTGCTAAAATTTCTACTCAAAAAAGAGGCTGCTTCTGTAAATTCATCTGAACTTCATGCTAAGAATCTTCCTTGTGATGATGAGTCACTTCCAAGCAGCTGGCAGATGTTGAAGAGCACCAGGGCACCTCATCTAGCCTTTCTCCTAGCCTTAGGCTCCAAGTCCATCCCTTCCTTGTGTCCCGTTGGGCACACCTTTCCTCTACACTCCTTACAACACAATATTTTTGGCGTGAAATATGTAGGGTGGCCAACACGATCTTAAAAACCGATCTGAGCTTAAGCAGCAGGAGGTTTCCATGGGGCGTTTCCTCTTTCTTGGCAGCGTTTGGGTCAGGACAGAATTGAAAACGCTCTGGGCTCCCGGCAGGGATTAGTGGTGGAGAAAAGCAGAAGCTCTATCTTTCGAATCTAAACAACGTATAAGAAAAATTGTGACAACTTGTGGGGGGTGGGAAAGAGCAGAAGGGGGAGGAAGCTTTGCAAACTGAAGGTTTTAAGTTTTATGCACTTCATGTGTGCATGTCCCTTGCAGGAATGTTCAGCATGTGGTCATTTGTTACTTGTTAGAGTAGCTGCTGAGGCTGTCTTGGGCTCCGACTGCTGCTTTTCTCTCCAAAATAAAATGGAAAAACACATTTCTTTCTACAAAGGAAAACATGATAAAATGGAGAAGCTCGTCACAGCTCCATCTTTAGATGACAGTGTCTTGCCTTGCAGAGGAGAATGCTCCAGTCTATTTATGTTCGAACCATAACGGTCCCAGTTTAAGCCCTATTTTGAGTCCCTACTGACGTGTACATTATCTTGCCTATTTTACACTCAGCAAAGTCTCTGCAGTTTAATTGCAGCCTTAAAGTTCAGACAAATATTTACAGCCTCTGCTTTCCTTTTGAGATAAATGGCTGCTTCAAAACACCCCCTTTGCTGTGTTTCCCACTCCTTAAGTGGGTTCCTGCTTTTTAAACCTGCCTGAGCAGCTTGAGAAATGAAGTGGGAGTCACAGCCAAGTACAATTTGTTCTCTGCTTTATTTACAGGAGCCAAGCAATAAGCGGGTTCGGCCTTTAGCACGAGTCACGTCCCTGGCGAACTTGATCTCTCCTGTAAGAAATGGTGCAGTCCGGCGCTTTGGGCAGACAATACAGGTAAAAAGCAGAGCCTCCTGGTCCTGGAAGTCTAGAGGTACGGGGAAGGTACTGGCTGTACAGGGGCAAAACAAGCACTGGGGTTTTAAGGCATCTCTTGAAAATCGACTATGCGATTCGTGCAAGGACAGAAAGCTTGCTAGGGACTTGCAAGAGGGCACTTCCAGAGGAGGCCACGAAGATGATCCGAGGGCTGGAGCACCTCTGCTCTGGAGACAGGCTGAGAGAGTTGGGGCTGTTCAGCCTGGAGAAGAGAAGGCTCTGGGGAGGCCTTCCAGCAGCCTTCCAGTGCCTAAAGGGGCTACAAGAAAGCTGGAGAGGGACTTTTTACAAGGGCATGTAGTGACAGGACACGGGGCAATGGCTTTAAACTGAAAGAGGGGAGATTTAGATTGGACATAAGGAAGAAATTCTTCCCTCTGAGGGTGGTGAGGCACTGGCACAGGTTGCCCAGAGAAGCTGTGGCTGGCCCATCCCTGGAAGTGTTCCAGGCCAGGGTGGATGGGGCTTGGAGGAACCCGGTTTGGTGGGGGGGGGCCCTGGGAGGGGGAACTAGATGATCTTTGAGGTCCCTTCCAACCCAAACTATTCTGGGATTCTATGATTCTATGACTTGGAGATGAAGAAGAGTTCAGGAGTTCAGAGGTAGTTTGCCAGATAAACCAGGTTGTTGAGGGTTTAAGCAGTAAAAAACAAGCTGATTCAGATAGGGAGAATGAGTTGAGAAACTGTTCTGGTACTTGAGATACACGTACTGGAGCGTGTGCTTAGAAGTGAACTGGCCCTGCTGCTCAGCAATCTTTCGTTAACGTTAGAGCAGAGTTGTCTGAGGAGCACCATACTGCACGCACGCAGATAAGAGCGCTTCTTTGCCTGGCTTTGAGTAACACTTCAGATCGTGAGAGCAAAGTTCAAGTGACTCCTCATTAGCCCCATTACGGGTAAAATTATGATCCTGGCTTATTTACTTACTTACACTTTGAAAACAGACCCAAGCTTTACCTGCCCATCCTTCTCCCAAGTGCTGCTGCTGGATCAGTGCAGGGAGAGGTGCACGGAAAAGCTTGCCAATCTCTGGGCTTTCTCAGCAGCTTGATTAAAGTGTTCCTTTATCTGAGGAAAAGTGTCTGGGTGTGTTTTCCTGCCCTGCACAACAGAGGAGGATGAAGGATTGGGAGGGAAATGGATAATACCATAATACTTCTGTATTTCTGAAATGTTGGCTCTACGTATTTTTTTAATTTATCTTTTTTTTTTTTTTAATCCCTATAGTCATTTGCCCTTCGTGGTGACAGCAAGTCTCCTGGCTGTGCCCAGAAGTCATGTAGCAGATCTGCTGCTCCTACTCCTCCTAAAAGAAGGAACAGTGTACTTTGGTCTGAGATGTTAGATGTCAACATGAAAGAGTCCCTGAGCACCAAAGAAATTAAGCGCCAGGAGGTATGTTGTCTGTTAAACAGCAGGACTGAGAAAGGGCAGAGGAGGCCTTGGCTGGTACCGTTTCCTTGGCGGGGAAGGGAGTAATGAGCATCTGTGGGTGACCTGATCTTCCTGGGCATCTTCTTTCTAAACCGTTAGATTTATTTCTGCAGTAGGCATGGGAAAAGGTAGACCTCTCTCTGGAGTCACTCGGCAGTTCGTCTCCCCAATCTGACCCTTCAGAGATGCCAAACTCTTTCCACGGGGGTGCTCAGCATTTCTGGAATTCGAGACCCCGCCACGTTGGTTGCTTTGCAGCAAACCCAAAGTCAGGTTCCTTGTAAAGCCAGCTGTCTTTCTCCTAAAGCTCTTGACAATTGGTCGAAAGCCAAATGGCAAGGCCCTGGCTTGCCTTTTTCCCATAGTTCTTAGGCAAATCTTCTAAAGACAACACAGAAGCTGACTAAAGACGCCTGGGATTTGACCTCTGTGGTTTTCTGGGGTTTGTTTTTTTGGTACTTGCCTGTGTAAAAGCAGTGATTTAGAAGGCGCTAATATTTAATTTGGCTTGTGCATGAGCGTCAGAGCTTTCACACAGTTGTAAGTAACGTGGCTTTCTCAGAGCTGGGAGATTTACTCGAGGTTGTCATGCCCAGGTGGCATACAGTGACTCAGATGGCAAACCCACCCATTCAAGCTGCAGAGACAGGACATACGTTACGTGAGCCAAAAGGCTCTTTCAGAGGAAGACTGGGATTAAAAATGACTCTGGATGCTTTATCCCCTTCCTCACAGGCAATATATGAAATGTCCAGGGGAGAGCAGGACCTGATCGAAGACCTGAAGCTTGCCAGGAAGGTGAGTGGAGTTTTTTCCTGCAGTCAGTAATCGTATTGCAGATAAGAATGAAGTTTCTTTGCGCCTGTGAACGTCACATATCGGCTTTGTCAGGCCCCGAATCCACGGTTTGAAAGCTGGCCTGGAAAGTCGATGTGAGCAGTCCTACAGTACTGGTTTGGTTGCAATAAACCAGCTGAAAAAGGACTGTGCTTTGCAATCCTACAGAGCTGGTTGGGGAATCCCTCTCCCAGATGAGAACAGTTCAGACAGGAAAGTCCTTTTCATTCCATACCTTCGTACAGAGATGAATCTTTTAGCAATCAGTCAGTGTTACTGTTTGTGTTGGCTTCACTTTGTACCTGTCCTGCACGTGGTACATCCCCCCATATTTAAATTGTCAGCTTTTGGCTTTGGGAGGTTCGAATGTATTTTAATATCAACGTTCTTTGGCAGGCCTATCATGATCCCATGCTAAAACTCTCTATCATGTCTGAGGAAGAACTCACCCACATATTTGGGGACTTGGATTCTTATATCCCTCTGCATGAAGGTAAGAGCAGCTGGATCGTTTCCACGTAATGCGCTAAGAGTTCAGATCTGTGCTTTCTCACATTAGAACAGCTTACTGGGGCATCGTTGCGATTTCTATTTTTGTGTTTCGATTCCAGACTTGTTGGCAAGTTTAGGAGAAGCAACAAAACCAGATGGAACAGTGGAGCAGATCGGGCCCATTCTTGTGAAGTGGGTGAGTACATAGCTTAGAGACAGCAGGCTAAAAATGAGCTTAAAGAACGTTTAAAGCTAGAAGCCGAAAAGCTGTGGGCTTTTGTGGCCTCGAGCGAAAGATTGAAACGGAAATCCTGGCTACACTGAAAACAATGGGACTCTGTCAGCCGTAACGGGCCACGGTTTCACCCTGGAGACCTACACTGGTGTGACTGCAATTAACTGGCTGATTTATGTTTGAAACGTCTATATCTTCTGGACCGTTTGTCACTGGTGTGATTTCCATAGTGTTATCGCTGTTCATCTCGGACATCTGAACTTCAAAGGCACTGCATGTAGGATGCCCTTGTTCTCCTCACAAAGACTAGCTACATACACAAGATGGTCCATTAGGTTTTTTAATTAGGCAAAGTATCGCAGTAAGGGAAGTAGAACTCCCCGAGTTTGGCGTGTTAATGCGATTTGCTTTTCCTACGTGGAATTTGACTCCTGAACGTTGTTCTCTTCTCCTGCAGTTACCACGACTCCATGCCTACAAAGGCTACTGTAGCAATCAGCTGGCAGCCAAAGCGCTTCTGGACCAGAAGAAGCAGGACCGGAGAGTGCAGGACTTCCTTCAGCGCTGCCTGGAGTCTCCTTTTAGCCGCAAGCTAGACCTTTGGAGCTTCTTGGACATTCCTCGGAGTCGGCTGGTCAAATACCCCTTGCTCCTAAAAGAGATCCTAAGACACACTCCCAAAGACCATCCTGATACCCAGATTCTGGAAGAAGCCGTAAGTAATAGTGATTTCATGATCGTTGTTCTGACATAAGCATGTCATTCTGGAGCTCCAGAAAGCTTTCTTAAGCCCTCAGCGCTTTTGTGGGGTAGCTTTCTTGGGGGGCACAAACCCTTTGTGAAAGCAAGTGATAGATCAGTCCACACAGATTCCATCATTTGGAGTTCTTAAATAGCAATTAAAGGGAAGATACATGAGCAGAGGTCACTAATCGTTCCTAAATGTTTTGGTTTATAGATATCTATCATCCAAGGAGTCCTCTCTGACATCAACCTGAAGAAGGGAGAGTCAGAGTGCCAGTATTACATTGACAAGCTGGAGTACCTGGACGAGAAGCAGAAGGACCCGAGGATTGAAGGCAGCAAAGCTTTACTGTGCCATGGAGAGCTGAAGAATAAAAATGGACACGTAAGTCTCTCGTGCTCATGGTAATTAATTCTCCAGTTTGAAAACCTTCCCTCAGAGGTAGTTAAAACTGTTGGTCTGTTATAGCGGGACCAGGAGCCCTTCCATTCTTCGGGTTAGTTTAGGCAATTAAGCTAAATTTAAAAAGCAGAAGAGAAAGCACCTGATAGTGGTTGGCATTTCAGGGCGTAAGGGAAAGTTTCCTGCTGCCAGCTTTACAATCGGCCTTCAGAAGCTGGAAAATAATTAGCACAAAATTACCATAGAAAGTGTGCTCTGTGCCCCAGCACTCCATCAAAAGGGATTTCCTGCCGGCTGTTTGCTTCCAGGTGTTCTGACATTCCCCTTTATGAGCGCTGGCGTACAGCTCTTCCAAACAAAAGTGTTCCTGAAAAAGCCTGTTTGGCTTTGAGATGAGCTGCCAGAAGTTTATCTCCTGCTGCAGCAGTGCTGAAAGACCCTGCTGTGCTCCAGGGTTTGCTGCCTTTTGTTCTGGCTTGCAGGAGTAACCTCGTTTCAAACATCAAGTCTTTTTCTGTTTTGTTTTGTTGTTGTTGTTGGTTGGGGGATTTTTTATCATTTCATTTGGCCATTAAATTTCTGTACACATTTTGTATTGTCAGAAAAGATACTGCTTCCAATAATCCTATTTTTGGCATCTGTAAATGATAACTCACTTTTTAAGGGTCATTAAAATAAGAAACCTGTTGATCCAAGCCTGATCTGTGCCACTGCTGCCAGGGCCTTATGTTGCCGTAAGAGGAAACTGTCAGAAAGTTAGTGTGGGTGAAACCTGAGACAACGTGGCCTTGAATCCCAGATGATGTGGTGATTTGAATACAGAATACAACATGTCACTCATAGTCCAGTGTGTGTTTTCCCTTGCAGAAACTCTACGTCTTCCTCTTCCAAGACATCCTGGTTTTGACCCGTCCGGTCACTCGCAATGAGCGTCAGGCCTACCAAGTGTACAGGCAGCCGATCCCCATCCAGGAGCTCCTCCTCGAAGACCTGCAAGATGGTGATGTGAAAATGGGAGGATCCTTCCGAGGGGCTTTTGGCAATTCCGATAAAGGTATGGACCAAATCGGTTCATCTGCACCGGAATCTGTTTGTGAGGAGAGAGTACACCTGGGCCTAGATCACCGTGGGCTGAAGTTCCTTTAGGGCAGCAGACACGTGACACGTGTTAACGTCGACCTTTAGACTGTCACTGCTGGGCTTTGCAGTTTTGGATTTAGTGGCCGTGAACTTACATATAGAATCACAGAATGGTTTGGGTTGGAAGGGACCTCAAAGACCATCCAGTTCCAACCCCCCTGCCGTGGGCAGGGACACCCTCCACTACACCAGGTTGCCCAAAGCCTCATCCAACCTGGCCTTGAACACTTCCAGGGATGGGGAAGTGGATATGGTGCTTTGCAGCTGCTGCTTAGACGAGAAAACATCTATCTCAACATGTCTCTGCTGGGTTCTGGGCTTTGGGGGCCATTTCTTTTTTTGGTGGGGTTTTGAACGCTTCCCCTGAAGTAGAGCAGGGCAGTCCAGGTCACTTCTCTAGCAATGGAATCTCTAAATCTTGAGCTAGGAACTGATCTGCTTTTTCCTATGTTTATCTTCAGCTAAAAATATCTTCCGAGTTCGTTTCCAAGATCCCTCCACGGGCCAGTCGCACACCCTGCAGGCCAACGACGTCTTCCACAAGCAGCAATGGGTTAACTGCATCCGCACCGCCATCGCTCCTTTCCAGCCACCTGCTGCCTCACCGGAGCTGAAGGAGCTGCCGGAGCTGAGCGAGGAGTCGGAGGAGAACAACCCCTCGGCACCCAACGCCAAAGCCCAGAAGAGGCAGTCTGGCGTGACCGAGATGGAGCTGGACGAAAGCGTGTCCGAGTGTGGCTCCGTCCTGGACTCGGAGGAAGCCAAGGGTGAGAAAACACTCAGAATGTCGTCTGGGCACAGGAAATCCAGGGAGAAGCAGCTAAGTGGCAAGCGGAAAGAAACGCTGGTGTAAAGAGGAGCCCAGCAACATCTTTATGACTGTTTATTTATAAATAATGTGTACATTTTTCTTGCCACGTGAGCATGATTGGATTCACTCTGCTGAACAGAATCTTTTTTTGGTTTTCGTTTGGTTTTTATGTTGTAATGGCAGCTACTGGTATGCAGTTAACACTGTTGAGCTGGAGTCTGTTTTTACAAACATGGCCACTTTGAACCTGGTTTTAACGCTGTGATTCAGAAGCCCTCGAGCTTTTGGCCACTCGTGGCAGATCTGAAGAGCACACTTTGTTTTCTGAGAGATTTCCACGGGCAGTGATGGAGGCAGGAAAGCAGGAAAAGCAGGAGTTTGGGCCGTCACCGCGAGCCCGGCAGCGCCTCCCTTTGCAGGGGGGGTTGGCACAACGCTGCAAGACTCAGAACCTGGATTCAGGTTTTCTCCTTGTCTTGTCCAGCGTGTGTTTTGGGGTGTGTGGTTACCACAATCCCCACTACTTTCCTTGTCAAAAAAGGAGAGGGAAAAAAAAAAACCAAAACAGACCCCAGGTTCAACAGGTTCTCAATTTACCGACTGGAATCTTTCACCTTAGTGTGTCCTTTGTACATTCCTCATTTTCACTCTTGTAATCTGCCAGGTATTTAATTTTTTTATTAGTTGTTTTGTTTCAAGTTTGGGTTTTTTTTTTGTTTTGTTTTCCTTTTTTTCTTTTTTTTTTTTTTTTACTTTTGTATGTTGTTGGTGTTGTTGGTCAGACTTGGCACTTCCTTTCCAGTACTTGATCCTTCTTTCTCTGAGGCGTGTGTGCACGTGCTGTCTCTCATGCCACTCCACGGCTCTGCGGAGCACGGGCGAAGCCGCGAGCCACGGCGCCACGTGCCCGTGGCTGGGAGGAGACGCTCAGCGTGCCCCGTTACGACGGGCAACGTGAGCGGCGTGCGCGCGCTCCAGACTACTGAAAGAGAACTGCATGGCTAACGGGGTTTAGGAAGGATTTAGGCACGTTGTCAAGGGTTTGGGGAGGGAAGAGGAGCAGCAGCTAGAGGGGAATAGCAGGGAGTGAAGGTAGTTTTGTTTTGTTTTTTTTTTTTCTTGTTACTGTTGCCTTTTGGAAATGAAATGCTTTCCGCAGGGAGGCAGGACTGGAGGCAACCGAGGGGTTAATTGCATGTGGTAGAAAGGTAGAGAAGAGAAAGCGTTTGGAGCTGATGAGGTGTAAGGACAGAAGAAGTAGTGGTTGTATATACTCATAACGGCGACACTGCCATGTTCTAGCGGTCCAAAGATTCGTGGGAGAGGTGCCGGCGTGGTGACTGCGTGGCGAAGCGCTGGAGGAAACGCAGCGGTGACGGCTTTGGGCAAAGCCAGCAGGTTGTTCCTGCCGTTCGACTGGTGATGATGGGGCGAGGACAGCGATCCCATGGTACCTGTCACCTGAAGTCCATGCTGGAGGGAGCCGTGCCTCACCTGGAAAGGGTTGTCGCCTGTCGCGTGCTCGGCCAGTCACGTCGGAGGTGGGAAGAGGGTGTACATAGACACGAACGTGTGGTTCTCTGTAAATACCTTGTACAGTTTCCAGTGCCAAGTACCATTAAATTCCGAACAGCCTCTTCGCCTGCTGTGTCTGAGTCGCCGCCGGGGAGGGACGTGTTGGTGCTGTGGGCGCTGCCCGGGGGCAGCAGGTACGCACGTACCGCTGGGTACCGCCGCTTCTTGTGTTACCCCAGCACAAGAAGGACATGGAGCTGCTGGAGCGGGTCCAGAGGAGGCCACGAAGATGACTCGAGGGCTGGAGCACCTCTGCTCTGGAGACAGGCTGAGAGAGTTGGGGCTGTTCAGCCTGGAGAAGAGAAGGCTCCAGGGAGACCTTCCAGCACCTTCCAGTACCTAAAGGGGCTACAGGAAAGCTGGAGAGGGGCTTTGGACACGGGTGTGTAGTGACAGGACACGGGGCAATGGCTTTAAACTGAAAGAGGGGAGATTTCCATGAGATCTAAGGAAGAAATTCTTCCCTCTGAGGGTGGTGAGGCACTGGCACAGGTTGCCCAGAGAAGCTGTGGCTGCCCCATCCCTGGAAGTGTTCCAGGCCAGGTTGGATGAGGCTTTGGGCAACCTGGTGTAGTGGAGGGTGTCCCTGCCCATGGCAGGGGGGCTGGAACTGGATGATCTTTGAGGTCCCTTCCAACCCAAACCATTCCATGATTCTGTGATTCTCCGAGCACGTGCAGCTGCCCTGCCGCCGCGTGCTCTGGCCGAAGGGCTGTATCTCGCACGAGGCAGCCGCAGCTTTATTCCAGCCCCTTTTTTCCGTCACGCTTTCCCTTCGCAGCGCTGCGCCCAGGTGGGACGCAAGCCGGCGGTTTGCAGCTCCGCGTGCGGCGCGGGGCCTAGCAGCCACCGCCCTCCGGGAGCACGCGACGGGCGTCCTGGTAGAACAGGGCGCAGCTGGTGACTCACTGCAGCTCTTACATCACTCTGTTTCTGGGGAAAAAGGGAGCGGTGGTGGTGATCCATACCCTCCCGGGGCACCAAAGCCTCCTTCCTCCAGAAAAGAAACCACCCCCC